ATGCTTTGTAGACAATGTCTATTTGTTCAAAATAAAAGGCAAAAATAAATATATCTAAAGTCGACCGAATGTTTATATTTTTAGATAGATGATAGAAAGCGAAAATTAGTTAATTTAGTTCCTTTCTCTTTAATGTTGGCAATAGATAAAATTCTTTTAATTTCTAGTCGATTATATTGATAAAATCTCGATGGATTATAACATATTTTGATGTATAATATTTAATCAGACAAACTAAAAAAAAAAAGTATTTCTAATCAATAATACATTTTTATTTCAGAACAATACTAAATGAATAACTAACTATACACGCTATCATATATGAAGGGTGTTTTTTTTTAATTTTTTATGGTGACGTACAAAGCCTTTGGGAGAAACAAAAAGGTTGGTAATTCGAGCAATATTGATTGTCACACACACACCCACCTTTGCTAGTCAATCTATTGAGGCTTGTTGAGCGATTTGTTTTAAATTAAAAAAATTAATGAGCAATGACTTTAGCTTAAGTCATTCGCGGACTTGTATAATCTATGAATGACTCACTCTAGATTAACATTACAAGTAGACATATTCAGTAAAGGAAAAAAAAAATTTTCCGCATGAATCTTTATCAACGATGCAAAACCTATGACAATCATATGATTATTAACTTAATTAATAACGAATCAGTTCAATATGACAAAAGATGTTAAGCCGAAAGTTAATCAAGTTGGACATATACATTAATCGAATATGTTGCCTATCACACAAATTTTACTTATCAAAAAAAAATGAAAAGATAAAAAAGGTGTAAATTTGAGAATGATATTGTTTATTTACAATATCACTTTTGAGATAGAGATATATCATTAACTACCAATACATCATTCACCATGTGGAAAAAAAGAAACCCTCCTGTGTCAAGAGCTTCTTATGTTAACAGTTTGTCAGTAAGATAGAACATCATTAGTCAATGTTATTATGTTGAAATGTGCTGTCGATTATTGTATCCACTATATGTATATCTGTATTATGAAGATAGAGAAGAATGAATGAATGATAGACAAAAGAAGAAAGTATGTATGCGATATTATTCTGTTAATTGTATCAACAGAGGAATGAAGAAAAGTTGATGGTTTGAATTATATCTTACTATTACAATGACTGCCCTTTAGTATAGATGTATGTTCGACATGACAGTCCGGTTTCCGTATACGTACGAGTTAGAAAGAAAAAGGTCATTGTTTCTCTGTAGCAATTTCAATATATTGTCCTATTTATGCTGTGAGGTTAATATGGATAAAGACACAATTGAGAAACTTCATCCTTTTCTAGTCCTTAAAAGCAAAATAAACAAAGATAGATAGTATAAATATATGTAAATCACACGCACACACACAAAAGGTTTCGTATTGATCAAAAAAGAAAAATATTTGTAATTAAGAGAAAAGATAAGTGACGAAATTTTGAAGGCAACCAACAAATATCCATTGAAATCTTTTTCTGTATCTCAAACACAATACATCGGGGAGAAATTATAAGAGATTAAAGACACAGAGAAAGAAAGAGAGCAATATAAGTAAAAACGTTCATCAATAACTTAAATAAATCAAGCGCAAATCGACACCATAGTAGAAAAGAAGATTCAAACATCTTGTGAAGGAATTACTAAGTTAAATTGTATTTGCGATTTTTTTTCTCATGTTAAATTATTATTTATTCTATTTGTTTTCGATATCTATTACAAAGAATAAAATCAAGTAACTAATTAACTATTGAGGTCTTTATTAAAATATACATGAAAAACTGAATTTGATGCCCTTAATCTATGTTAATTAAACAAGAACTGCTAGAACTAAAAGACTAATCACGCGATACGAATATTGTTTCCTGTTCATGCATAGATTACACAGAAGTGCGAATGAATGAACACATTTCTATAACTTTAATTAGCTTATCTGTATATTTCGTTACCTTAGTATAGACTTTATGTCAACAATTAGAGAAGTGTCGAATTGATAGAAAAAACGGAAGTTCTTCATGAATAATTTTTCACATGACTGATTTCCACAAAGTTTTTTCAAGGATATTTTTGATAGCACTCAATAAAATACATTTAAAAGACACTTAGAAACCATTAAGAATTTGCTTTCAACTAAGACGAATCATATAAATAAAACTTCAATTTGATCCTAAATCCCATATAGAAACTATGTTAATGACATTAGTAAGAAATGTATGAAGTAAAAAGACCAAAAGATAACAGTTATTGCTTGGAAAAACATTCAGTATATCAAAAAGAAAAAATAAAAGAAAATAAAACTAAGAATAAAATATACCTTGGCTACTGGCATCATTGTTCGTAGACTAGATCCATTACTTTTTGGTTTATATACATGATAAAAATATGTTGTCTTTCTTTTTTTGTCTCGAATAACTGACATACAAATAATTTGCCTAGAAGAGAAGGTTGACACCTTTATCCCTGCGTGTATAGTCCTCCGCTATGTAGATTATCTTGTTAACTCTTGCTTTTTGCTCTCTCTCTCTCTCTCTCTTTTGCTTTCTTTCTCTTTGCTCTTACTTGTTCTTTTCTCTAACAATTAATGTACGAGTTCTTTGATGCGGTGTCATCCGAATCGATAACTACTTACTGTATGCATACAGGACCATGGATAGTAGAATTGACGTGATCCAAGGTGCATGTCGGAATCGAACTGCACCAAGAAGAAGAAAAAGCTTTTGAAATGATAATGATAATAATAAAGACGAGCACCAATGACGGCAAATGTGTGCTATATATATTAGGTTGTGATGATGATAATAATAATGATGATGAAAGAGAAGCAGAAGAAGAAGAAGACGAAGAGACTATGATGATAGTTATGGTGTTTGTTTGAATTGTTGATTACTTAATTTCGTATTGGTGCTAGTTTCCCGTCGTTGAAGTCTCGTTGTCGTGTTAGTCGTTGATCGATGATGATAATGTTGGCGGCGTCGGTTTTTCTCATCGTCGTCGCTCTCAATCATCTGTGCGGTCGGTCTGCGGTTGTTATTATGATTTGTTGTTTGAGAGACAGAGCGAGACAAAGGGATAGCAAAAAAAGAAAGAAAAAAAAAGGAATTGTTGAAAGAAAGAAAAGAAAGTGTGTGTGTAGTTATCCCACAAAGAGTTATAGTAAAAGAACGAGCAAGATGAGCTTCTTTTCTGTCACACACTATAATTCTTGTATACGAAAGCATAGGCATCTCTTTCTTTTTTTTACTACCTTCATCAAGTCAGAAAAAACGATCGATAAAGAAAAGGAAAATCGTAGCAACAACGAGACCTAATGACTTCACTGATTTCTCTGTTAGTTATAGTCATCATTTTTAATTTCTATGTATTATTGTCAAGCGTGAAGAATGAGAAGCAAAAAAGACAAAAAGAATTGATTCTCTTTTTCCTTTCTCTTGTCTTTGTTATCGGCCGCTTTAGCTAATTGTCTACTAAGGACCTTGGCTCTTTTTTTACTCTCTAGCGGGAAAACTCAGCGATTGCGTGACGAAGTCTTTTCCTCTCTCCCTCCTCCTCTTCTCATCATTGTATCACGCAATGAGAGGCTTTGTTCTAATGATCGCGATCTCTCTCTCTCGTTTCTGAGACTTCTTCTTCTCCTTCTCTTATGCTTTCTCAGTCGTCATCCTCTCCAGTAGTCTCGTTCTCTCACTTTACTTTTTCTCGTCATCGAATTGGCACGGATGGCGACGGAAAACAACAATCACCCATCCAACACAATTATCCGAACAAGATCCATACATGTACGTTCTCGTTTGTTCTTTTTAAGTGAATTCTTTTCAAGAGCGAATGCAACAAACGAGGAAAAAAAGAAGAAAAACAGTTACGGATATGATACAATAGGTCGATATTATCGTCATCGAAAGAATTGATTGTCAACGTTCACATGTTAGCATTATATTCTCTAATACAGTTCTCTTTTATTCATCCGGAAAAATACAAAAACACAAAAGAAGAAAAGTTGATTATCGCCATATGGTTTCTTTCCTTAATAATTAATCGAGCTTGTATGAATAAGCAGATATCACAAGCAAAAGTTATTCTTATAACATATACATTGATTGATTGTCTAAGTACTCTTCGTATCAATGTTAATGTGATAATACAACACAGTCGTATATATATATATACATATATGTATATATAAACACAATAAAAACAAAAATGTTATCTAGTAGTTCTTTTGATGTTTTTGAACAGTAAAACTATTTGCTATTTTAGCTTTATTTAAAGGGTAAATTCATTGAAACACTTATCTATTGCTCTATAATATATACATTAATTAATTAGTAGCTATAGATAATAATAATTTTTTTTGATAGTAAATTATAAATATCATGAACAAAAAACTAGAATAAGTCGATTATCTTTTGCTATTTTTTTTTACTTATATTCATGCTTATTTCATAACCTTTCTTTATTTCATTATGCTATGTTATGATTATTATACAATATATGCATTTTGTACTTTTAAGAATGCAATAGATCAACATACCTCGTAAATCATTATGTTCTTCTGAACAAAGGCAACAAGAAATAGAATTTATTTTACCAGTCATCCAATATAGATATATATGTTTATCAATCTTCATATGCTTTTACGTAGTGTACAATCAACTTAAAATGTCAACGATAGATTAGTTTCTATTACTATCATATATATATATAGTTCTTTTTTTTCATCGTTTATCCAAACAGATGAAAATGAAAGCCTAAGTTATCAAGATACAAACGAAAACACACAAGAGTACTATGTACTACAGGATAGTTCATCAAATGATCGCATGCAATACCACACGCATCATGTCCGATGGGAGCACATTATATACTTCCTAAACATTATACATGGTTAGATAAATATGCGTTCTCATGCACGTGCTATTTTTACCAAAAATACAAAGCACCAATATTTACAAAAAAAAATGAAAGCAAAAAAAATTAAAACAAAACAAACGAAAGAAAACTATTGTTTTGATGGATTCAATTGTTGTTGTCTTTTTGCTTGTTGTCGTCGTTCAAACCATAACATGCCATCATTATGATCATCATCATCACTTTCGGATTCTGATGACTGTATTTGTTGTGAAATTGGATTAATCATATTAGCTGATTGTTGTTCATCTTGAGATTTTTCTTGTTTTTTAACATTTGAATTACGTAAATCAATATAAATTGTTTTACGCTAAAAGGAAATAATAAATAATTAACTTAGTCAAAACTACTATATTTAGAAGTAATCTAAGAATTCAATAATAAATTATTCGAGTTTCTTTTTTAGACATTTATGTTTGTTTACAGATTGTACTTTTTTATTTTAATAAAATTTCAAAGTATAATGGGAAAAGTTCTTTTTTTTTTCTAATTATAGAACAATCTCTTAAATATAATTAATGTAAAGTTGTATGGTTTCATAGAATAGATTGTGTTTTTATTTTTTTCATATCATGATTTTTAATAGTAAATAATTCAAATCGTGTGATCGTTTCCGATAATTATATAAATTCATATGATCGAGAACGAAAAGTTATTTATGATAGGAATATTATTCAAATACAATGAGATTATCATAGTATGTTAAACTTACAAGGGAAGTCCGCCCATTGATTGGAATTATGTGCATCCTGTAAACTTTAAGAAGCTATGAATGCGCTAGACAAAAATTCGAGTTCCTAGCTTAATGATGCGGAGATATCCCATTTTTTACGATAGTATATAAATGAAAATTGTGATTCTCGTGAGAATCATCAAGAAAAGTGATTTTTTAATTTCAATTTGAAATTCTACATCGAAGCAAACCTTAGTTAGAATGATCTCTAGTGCAAATCTCAAGTCTTTTGATTTGCTTTTCTTCTGAAATAAGAACATCGAATCTCTCGATGTGTATGAGTAATAGAAAAAACAAGTTTTTTTTTTATAGAGAGGAACAGTGAAACTAACTAATACTTTTACAATAAATTACTTTCGTCAAGGTTGATGTTTTTGTAAAATTTCGATGCAAAATTTAAAAATCAATTCTTCTGAGAAAAACCATAAGTTTGATTTACAAAAAGCAGTATCCTCATGCCAATTAACTAAGAGATCAAACATTTATTCAGAATATTTATAGCTCATGATATTCTATACTTGGCCATGATTCCATCTAGGTAAACTTCGCGATATTTATTAAAAAACAAATAATAATGAAATCGATCTTTATGAGTTTGATATATCAAAAAATAATTTAATAAAGAATTTTCATTTCGATATATGATCTTAATTATTATCAGAATGTTAGATGAAAATTAAAAAAAAATATTGAAATTCTTACTGCTGATTCAACAGTGGATCTTCTTTTCCCATGACGATCAAAATGTTCATATGATGTTTCATATAAAGCAGCTTCTAAATTTCTAAATGGATGATGGTCTCGTGTTGAATGTGACCGTTCATTAATATTAAAACGATTTGCTTGTTGTGCAAGACGTTCAAGAATTTGACGATCATCACGATTTTTTATAGTTGTTGTGTGTTGATGTGATGATAAATTATGATGATTAACTAGAAAATAATCAAACAATATAAATGTTATTCTTATATAACTTCATTAATAAATGAATATTAATCTATGAGTTTTTTTTTTCTTACTTGGCCGTGGTCGATGAAATGTTGGTGTTATATCTGCATATTGAGAATGATTATGATTTGAATTTAAAGATGGTAATTTATCAAAATCAATACTATTGAAAAGATCCATTGAAAGAACTGATGGTTTTGATAATGATTCTTGATTTTGTAATGAATTATCAAATAAATTCGGTGAAACACGCATTTGTAATTCAACACTAGGTGGTTGTTGAGGTGTTTCAATTTTCGGATGTAATGTAAGAAATGAATTAACATTATTATTCATTAAAGATTCAAGAAGAGCATCGGTATTTTCAGAAATATTTGATTGAAGAATCTGTATATATTCAAATACAAAAGAATATTTTTCAATAATTAAAAAAAAAGATTTTTTTTGTTTTACTTCTTCATTATCATCATTATTCTCATCATTTTGATCATCATTATCAAAATTAACACTTGGTAATTGTGATTGAACTTCAGAAAAAATTTGTTGAATTCGTGCCGATGTATTCATTGGATATGATGAAGTTTGTTCATCTTTTACAGGTGGCATTTCGTTTTCTGCGTAATTTGATTGTATATGAACTCAGATGCACTTTTAAATAGTTAAAACAACCTTATTATATCATTAGTTTTGTTCGCCATTCTCAATACTTTAATTATAGTTACAACCACAAAACATTGCTTTATGCTTCTGTAAATCCATATATTTCTTCAACAATGTAGAAGATTGATTAAAAAAGATTTTATTAATTTCAAGAAATTTCAAATTGGTTTTAGCCATTTGACGAAGTTTTTATTGTTCGTGTGACGTCGCTAGCAGTCGTACTTTGTTTCAAAAATTATTTTGAATTTTAACGCTGAGATAACACTTAAGAATAGACAATAGAAGCGAGGATTGTAAATCGTACAGGATATTTTATTGACTATTTGCAGAGTATTTTACTTAATTTTCTTATTTAGTGAAAGAATTCCGCCAATAAGACTTTCTCAAATTTGACTGTGATTTTGATTTGGTTTTGAAATATTCCCATCGATTGCATAGATGAATGTAAGTTATGACATACATATTTTAACAATACTAGCTTCAGTCTTCATATGTATCTTATATTAATATTCTTTTGTATCAGTCTTCTGAAATTCACCCTAATTTCGCCAGCAGACCTCCGAACTTTTGCTTTTGGCGAAATTCTGACCACCCAAGCCTTCCATAGTGCACAACAAGGTGAGTATTCAATGAAAAAATTAGTGATGCTGTCTGTGATTTGAATAGTATCGAATGTACTTTGGCCTATGACAAACTATTTGAATGAAAAAGAATTATTCTATTTCTTTTTTACAGAGTCTAGGAAAAGTCTATATCCAAATATTGGCCAAGCTTCTCTCATCTAAAAGAGAAATATCGTTTTCTAAAGGAAGTAGAAAAACATACGGAATAAGTCCTAGAGTTCTTACTCTATCATTCTATTTGAAAAATTTCGTTCTAACAGTATTGCTATTGAAAAAAGTATGGATGCTTTTTCAACTAAGGATTTTCTAAAAAGTTTTGTTCATTGTTGTCTGTACACATACTGTTAGATTTAATGAATTCTATTTTCGACTCACTTTCATGTGGTACAAAATTCGTTGTTTATTTTATTTAAAATTTCAGCATTATCCCCTTGGAAAAATAATTCTACACACCCTGTAAAACTTTTCATAATTCATCAACTAGATAAAACTCAACCCATTTAAAACGTTTTGGTTAAAATCAGCTTAAAACTGATTTTTGTTACTAGAAAGTCGACTGAAATGCCACAATTTTTCTAAACCAATTATCATCAAATTTGTCTTGGTAATAGGAAGACTTTATGTCATTTTTATTGGTTATAATCAATTAAAACACTTTAATCCACTAAAAACGATTAAAAACTAATAATCAACAGAAATCTGTTTTTAACCAAGACAACTTTCATTACAAATAGATTACAGTTGAGCCGTTCTAATAAAAAAGTAATCGATTTCAATCTAATCTTTATCCAAATTTTTTCTGCGTACATGGGAAGGTCTAATGTCCATTTCCAAAAAAAAAAAGAAGAATAGCCATTTTTTGAAGAACTCAGGAACGCATAAAAGTATCAAGCTCAAATGGCGTTGTTGTCTTTAAACAGTAGATTGCTGTTCTGTGAAGATGTAATGAATTTTGAATTTTGGGTGTAGATCTAGTTCATTTCTACATTCACAGTCACAGTCACAGTTACAAAAAATTTCCATGCATACGCATTCCTTTCTTCATATTTCTCCGACTAATTAAATCATGGAAACAGTCTCGGCACTGGCTCTGATGTATGTATTGTATGATACAGAATGATAAGACTTCTGCAACGAAAAAGTGCTTATGCTTTTTACTTTCTGTATACTTATATTTATTCTGTGGTTTTGCTCTTTTCAATTAAACTATTATAATAGCAAAAATTGTCCTGTGAATATTCACTGAAAGAACGCAACAATTCCTTTAATAACACATTATCTACAAACAAATAATTACTTCTCATAATTGAGCAAATTGCATATTAATTTTTTGATAACAATGATTTTGGGTAGCAATAGCAAGTTTGCCTATATCTTTAGGACTTTTTCAAATCAAGTGTTTTGCCAATTTCATATTTCGATTTAGTTCATATATCGAAGCATAAAGAATACATTTTACCACTAGTAAACTAGTACAATCTAAGAATAGACACATCTTTTCTTGGAAAAAAATATCTGTAGTCAGTATTTGACATACATATCACTTACAAGAAAAGTTATTCTGTATTCTGAGATTGTTCAGAGTCGTCGTCTCTCATCGTGTATTATTGAAACTTTTGATTTTGAATTATTTCTTCACTAATATTTTAAATATTGTGCAAGACTTAAATTCTCATGAAATACAGCTTTTATTTGTTTCAAATAAATCGAGGAGATCTATCTTGCCATAATGCTTTTTACAAGTATACATTAAATAGTATTTAATGCCAGATAATCTTAGATATGCAGCATGAATGCTTCTGTTTGTTTTAATACCAACATCTTACGTTCATTAAATGGAAACTATTTCATATATAATAACTTGGCATAGGCACACACCAACAATATGACATTGATCATATAATATTGTTGAATAATCATGAACAAGTTAGCCTAAACACAAATGCAGCTGAGATTGCTCATCTTGATGGACTTCTATATATAAATAATATGATTTAAACTCAAGACAAATTAGACAAACTAGTTGAAAAAAATATGCAAAGCAAGCAGGCCTATGATTTGTAACTGTCTCAACAATAATACTCAATGTGTGATTAAATATTGATACAGAAGGTAATAGATAAAAATCAGGCGCTATAAGAATATAGTATTATTTTTTTGCACGAATCGTAACATATTCAAAATATCGATTGCAATTATGTTTTAGTATATGACAGAGATCTGTATGGGACATCCCATGAGATGGGACAAAACTTTTTTAAAAATTCTATAAGAAAAGACAACTTGAAAATTCTTTTGGCGAAACTCAATTAGAAGATTGCTTCGTTTTTTGTGTTAAAGCTATAGTTTTTGACGTACGTAACTTGTTTTAATAGTTTATGTTCTTTTTGAAAATCCTTTTGGAAATGTCGATTGACATATACAAAAGATTATTAAAAAAGAATCGAAATCGGTAAAAAACCCTATCTACTTCAAAAATTATAGTTTTAACAAAAATTCTGTCTCACATTAAGCCTTGATATACTAATATATTTAACAAACTTTTTTTCAAAGAAAAGGAAAATAAAGATGCAAATATCTCGAATAGACAGTCAATTCAACCGTCAATAGTCGTTTGACTGGTGCACAATTGACTCGTGTTAAATCATTTGTGAAATCGTTCGTCACCGTTATTAATTGTTCATGTAGTATCGTCAATGTAATAAGACGTGGAAAACGTATTTTTGTATGAAATAAAAACTGATCAGCATAATCAATGTGAGCATTAATAAGATTGAGTCTAATCAAATGTGCATAACTAATGATTGAAAATATTTGTTTGTTGCTAAGTATTTCAAGTTGACATTTATTTTCTTGTGGCCTTGAATTATGCACTGTTAAATATTTAAGTAATGAAAATGCTCAAGCTACCTATTCGAAGAAATTATGTTCAAATGAACGAGTATCGTACAATTTCAAATCGATAACAAATGGAAAATGACTACCACGAAAACTATTAGTAAAATACAGTAAATGAGTTATTTTAACGGATGTAGAATAAATATGACAAATACCAAGACCAATTGAAAAGTAATCAACACAACAAGTAATTGAAAAATATTTCCAATCAATGAATGTATTTTGAATATCATTAGTAGATAACAATTGATTTGTATTAGAAGTAGAAATAATTGTACAATATAAAATGTAAATGTAATAGTTAATTTTGACATATAATTAAGAACTTGTTCATCTAGAAGAATACCATCAATGAATGTCGATTGATGTACATTTAAGTATAAAGTAAGATCTTGCAAATTCTACATACGACGAAGAAGTGATACTATTCGACTATCGTAAGCATTTGTAAGTGAATAACGGGTTAGAGAAAATTCTTTCAGATTTGGCAGAACATTCTACAGAAAAATTGATCATTAATGTAATAAGAATTTAAACTATAGATAGTGAATTTTAGATTAAATTTTCTTACCATTTCATCAGTGATTGTGAATGATCTTTCAATAGAACTAATATATTCACAGTCTATGATGATAATTGATTGACACCACCATCAGGTAAACAAAGACAATTCTTGAAACTTGCCATATTAACAGATAAAGATCGTAATTGTGAAGAGGAGCCAGTACTTGGAGGTCGACCATAAAGTAAGAGTTGTGTTTGTTCACAATTAGTAAATATATTCATATTGAATGAAGTTAATTTTTTTACATAAGACAAAAATAAGTGCACATTCATCTACGAATAATTCGTTCGACGATTCTTTTGTTGTTCGTAATAGTAGTGTCTGTGATCTGTTCTCTAAATAAGCGAGCTATCGACAATTGTTCTAAAAAAAACTCACATTGTACCATAGATTTTCATTGAGAAGATGATATCGTCATCTACTGATGTCTAGAGAACGTTGCTTCCCTGTTAAATAATGAGAAGCAGCAGTTGGTTGATAATTCATAATAGAGACAATACTGAAGTTAGAATATTTGCAAGCAAGAAGAATCCGTTTCATACATGATTGTTCAAAAATCAGTACTTTCAAGTTATGATATATTTGAAGTAATCTATGACAACAGAATCGATCAAACACAACATCATCAGTTGGGCAGAAACTACAACTTGAGGATATTATTGAGAAGTTTAAACATTTAGTATGAACAATAGTTCTTGCCATTCTATCGAGTCGTCTATTGATTCCCATCAATGAATAAAGAACATCAATAGGACGACATTTTTTTTAATAATAACAAGTAATAATTCATCAGGTAAATCGGGTAAGTAAGCAGTCTTATACTTCATATTTAATATATATCAACTGACGTTTTCTCTTTCGGTATATATTATAATCTCGTACTTTTCGCCGTTCATAATGTGAACAATGCGTTGTTCGCTGCCATCTGAGAAGCGAACAATCGACACGATAATATGCTCGACAAATTCTCATCTATCTTTCATACAGTCCATTAAACCGCAGACGAAAAACTAATTTTTTTTCATTCTCTATCGAAAATTTTATGATGATCATCCTATACGAAGTAACTCTTTTCGGAGTCTAATGCATGAAATCAGCGTTAATATGCGCAAGATAATAAAGAATGGCAAGAAGTGCGTCATCAACATATGAAGAGCAAAATAATAATGTGTAAAATTTTGTTATTTCTTCTAACAGTATTAACATTTTAATGTTTTATGAGCTCAAAGTACGGTAATTTCGTTTATGGAAATTATCATAGATAAGTTATCAGTACTGAATTACATCTGATTGTGATCATTTCCATATGTTATATCTACAAAAGACTACTCATGTCTGATAAACGAAGATTATTCTCAGTTGTTCAAATGTAACAGACACTTCAGTTTTCAAAATAGATAATGCTATATAAACTAGTCATGCAACGTTTCAATTAAGTCATAATAACAAAATGAGACCACTTTATAATAGTATACGAAATAAAAGTATCATTCCCATAGAAACAAAAAAGAGTATGGAATGTAGATCTTGTCTTCACCAACACCTTTCCACATCCACATCGACAGTCCGTATATATAAGTAATGAAATTTCAAATTAGCGTTGCTGTTTTTCGAAATCCAAAACTCAAATCTAAAAAATAACTACAAGCTTATGTCAACATCCAAACTGAAATACAAATACCAAAGATTTGATCCCAAATTCCAAATGTTCCTCAAGATTTATGACACTCCTAAACACACTCACACTCAGACCTAAGTAAAAACTAAACATTATTATAGGTTTTTTGAGAAAACTTATACGGCAACAAGCGAATTGAAAAACTTATTTTGTTATGCTTGGTTCAATAGTATAACAAAAATAAAGACAATGGTAGGTAGCATCATCTATCGTGATCTATTTCATACGAGAATAATCTAGTGTACATGGACAATTGCTTCGAACGACAAATAATATATGTATGCACTACTTTTATTTTAAATAATAACTGGAAAATTATATAAAAAAATAACTTCTTAAGATTGACTTTTTCGGTAATGATCAAACTGTAGATGAATTTTTCTTTAACATATTTCATTCTAGAAAAGTATGGTTTTTTTAATCAATATATATATATATGTATAGTCTTGAAACTCCAGACTTGAAGTTTCAATGATCCAAAAAATGAAACAGAGAAAAAAGATTAAAAAAATCCTTTCGCTCATTTGAAGTAGGAAAGAATTCTCGTTCAAATGAAAGCAAGCCGAGTTTTGCCAGTTGATTTCTGAAAATTTTCTGATCGATTATCTGTAGAAGGGCGAGCATTTTACAACTATACGCCTATGAGGTGTACATCAATGAAAATTTTTATTAATATCTCATCTATATCGTCGAACTTAGATTTTTGAGAGAGGTTAAATAAATTTTAACTAAATTATTAACTAATAGTAACAATTTAAATGTGAGAAAATAGTACTTATTCACTCAATTCTATAATATATATATTACATCATTCTCAAATATGTAAGATGAAATATCGATCAAGTTATCAAATGAGAATGAATGACAACAACATAAAACAGGCCAACTTAATTGCTGACATAGATTGATGCATAATTTTTAATGTATAACATTAACTTACACATGAAATTTATATCACTTGTACTGACATATTTTTGGTGAGTTATGCATAAATTTGTATTTCGATATTATATTAAAAAATGTTTATTGCTATAGAGTTTTTCGATTCATATATTTTTATCATTGTGTGAAAGAAATTTTTGGAATATATATCTCAGATAAATGCCATCACTTCAGACAGAAATGTAATATTACTCTTTCATATATGATATATGGCGTCTTTTTTTCTTAGTTATATTGACTGTAGAATCGAACATTTAAAATTCTCAAATAAATTACGACTGATTTGTTTTAGAAATATCTATAAATATATATGCAAATATGAGACTCAATAAATGATTATCAATTAAATTTATTGACAACGTCTATCATAAATATTCTACCGACAAATTTCAATCTAATGTACTTCTATGTTTCTTCTTTTTAATACCATTATACTATTATTCTTATAGTAAACATTTGAAACCAATCAAAGATACATTAAAATAAATGGTTAAAGCCTATTAGTATAATTTTTGTAACTTGTATAAGCAAATGTTTTCTTTGCAATTTACTAAGATAAATCTTGCGTACTTCTTTCGTTCTTTTTTGCCTGTATAGTGACTATGTAGTACTCTTAGTATTTCTTATCAATACTAATCCGTACTCTATTATTGAAGGGCGTCATTTTTCTTTTATAATATGTTTATCGAATATATATATATATGTATACGAGAAGTTATTTCTTCTGTCAACAGGTATATTTAACACGTTCAAAGAAAAGGAAAAAGAAGTACATTTGACTAGTTTATTTTTAAGCACTAATGACAAATAATTAATCATATCTTTTTTTCTTTATATCATCTGTTTGTCTGTCAAATAGACGTTCTAAAAAAAATCGTAATGAAATATAAAGCAATGAACTTTTTAGATGTATCTCGGTTGGATTGATTATGGCATGTTGATTTTACTTTTGGGTTAGTTAATAAGTATTATTTTATTTTATTTTTCTTTATTTATGATTATTTCAGGTTTTTCGGTGGGTATTGGTATTTATCAAGGTTGTTTTCGATCAAAACAATTGACTACAAATGAATTTCTAATTGCTGATGGAAGAATGAAAGTAATTCGAGTCGTAACGTAAATTTTATACGGATATTATTTTTTATTTCAAGATTTTACCGACGGCAATGAGTTTATTGGCGAGTCTGATGTCTGCAGCAACTCTGCTTGGAATTCCAATTGAAATTTATTCATATGGAACAATGTACATTTATTGGAGTAAGTTCTTTTTTTCAATGTAAAGTCTAAAACATCGATATTCTTATTTTATAGTTTTTGCTTATTTTATTGGTACTTATTTTACAGTAAATTTATTTATTCCAATGTTTCGTCAAATAGGAAATTTAAGTATCTATGCAGTATGTTAGTTGATATAATCATTTAAAAGAAAAATTTTCTATTATTTTAGTATCTCGAACAACGTTTTTCGTTAACAGTTCGTGTTGTTATAACACTTAGTTATATGATAGTGACGGTTAGTAGTAGTAGAGTACAAAATAAATTTAGTAATGCCTAGAAGTCTACTTGTTTGTTAAGATTTTTTATATAGCTGTTATTTTATATGGACCAAGTCTAGCATTAAGTCAAGTAACTGGTTTACATATATGGTTAGCAGTTGGATCATGTGGAATTATTTGTACACTGTACACAAGTATTGTATGTAATCAAATATTAAACATATATAAATATTGAATCAATTGAATTACGAAGGGTGGAATGAAAGCAGTTATATGGACTGATGTTACACAAACGATAATGATGTTTCTTGGTGTTATTTTATCAGTTATTATTGGTATGATGAATATGTTTATGTCTAAACTTAGTATTTTTACTGATTTTTTTTAGGATTTTATGATGCTGGTGGAATAAAAAATGTATTTAAAAATGCAATGGATGGTAATCGAATTCAATTCTCAACGTATGTAATTCAGAAAGAAACGAAATCATAGATTTCCATTACGATTAGAAATCTACCGCTACCACGTCGCAACTCTAGAAAAGATAAAGCTACTGCATTGCTGACGTCGTTGCGGCAAGATCGCCATGGAAATCTCTGAAAGAGATGTTGAATTTATTATGTTTTTGTTTTGAAATCATTAGAATTACATTAGATCCATCGATTCGATATACTGTTTGGAGTGTAATTATTGGTGGTGGTCTATATGCTACAGCTGTATATTCTTGTTTACAAACTCAAGCACAACGTTACTTATGTGTAAAAAGTACACGAGCTGCACAAAAGTATTAACCTTTCGATAAAAAAGAAAATCGATAAAATCTTTTTTTTCTGTTTAATCTTAGAGTTGCTTGGTTAAATTTTCTAATGTGTACAATGATGCTTTTTCTTTGTGCATCTGTTGGATGTCTTCTATATGCAAAATATAATCAATGTGATCCTCTTCAAGCTAAATTAATATCTAAACCTGATCAAGTAAAACTATAATAATATTTATCATTAATATTCAATTGAAAATTTCTCTTTTTATCTTTAGCTTTATCCATTATTTATTATTGAAACATTAGGCAGATTTCCGGGTTTAACAGGTTTATTTATTGCTTCGGTTTTAAGTGCTTCATTAAGTACAGTATCTAGTGGAATAAATAGTATAGCAACTGTTTTTCTGGAAGATATTTATAAAAGAATATCAACAGAAAATTTAATGTCTGATAAAAAACAAGCGATGATCTCAAAGATATTATGTAGATATGAAAATTTTCTTATGAAGATATTTGTTTGTTTTTTTTTTTTTTCTAGCGGTATTTATCGGTCTTCTTGTGGTATTTTTAGCATATATGACATCTTTTTTAGGAAATAATATTATAGTGGTAATTTATTTTATGTATTTCATTGATTTTTATCTTATATTTGAAATAGATAGTTTTTCAAATATCTGGTTCATTTGGAGCACCAATTTTAGGAGTTTTTCTAATAGGTTTTTTTGTACCACGAGTAAATAGTCGAGTATGATTATAATATATTTATTCTATAGAATTTATTGACTTTAATATAAAATATTTAGAGTATTCTTATTGCTTTTGTATGTTGTTTATTATTTCAAACATGGGTACTTATTGGTGCTACATTAACAGTTAAACCACAAGTAGGAAAAGGTGGACGATTACCAACGTCCGTTAAAGGATGTTTGTCATCATTTAACATTACTCAAGCAATTCCAAAAAGTCAAAGGTGATTTTCTTTCCTACATCAGAGTAATTAAGTTTGATTGGTTGATTATATATAGTTCAAATTTTCTATTACCACTTTATTCGATATCTGTTATGTGGTATTCTTTTAATGCTGTTGTGATTATCGTTGTTATTAGTTTATTAGAATCATTTATCTTTGGTAAATCTTCTTGTTTTTTTTCATAAACCAATATTAATGATTCGTACGTTGTATAGGTTCAAATGATCCAAAAATGATAGATAAATCATTATTAATATCATGGAAAAACATATTTTCGTGTTATTGGAAACATAAAGTATTTCTTATCGGTTTTTTTCCATTGATCATTGATTTTTTTTTTCTATAAACTTTTTAGAAATCCGTGAGCTTACAACTTAATGAAATAGATACAATTGAAACACAAACAATTGAACAAGAATCAATTCTCTAGAATTTTTCTCTTTCTACGAAACTAAAACGTTTGTGTATAAACATGTTATACGATTAAATAAAAAAGAAAATCTTCAAAGTATAAAATTATGAAAATATCTATCTATAATATCAATATTCCTTGTTGCGATGTACTGGATAGACTGTAAATAACACTACGATAGAAAATTAAAAGTTCTCACCTTTAGTTCGCTTAAATTAGCTGATTTTTCGCTTAGTGGTAGAAACTTATTCAAAGTTTTTTTTAATATGGATGACGTAAGCAAATCCTGCTGTAACATTATATTTTTGGCCTTACTAAAGAAATTTCACCTAATGTTAAGTAAGAAAATACATATAAGATGGACCATTTTCAGTTGTTATCTAAGAGAATAAGAAGTCAAAATGAACTCTATATTGATGCATACAAAGCAAGTTTTCAAAACTATTAAGTTTCAAATTAAAGTACATGAATTTCAATATTTGAACTGATTAGTTTTGAAAACTCGCTCGAAGTGTATCAATGTAGTCTCATTTATTAAATTCATTTTAATTTCTTCCTATGATTATCTTAGATGACAACTGAAAATTATATAAGAAACGCCTCATAGATATTTTTCTTACTTGACCATAGGTGAAAAATTGACAGTAGTATTTGTTTACATTATCCATATGGAAAAAAAGAAAACTTAAAATAAGCTTCTATCACTAACTAAAAAAGCTACTAGTGCGATTCCCGAGAGATTAAAACGTAAAACGCGATGTAGTTGATGTGTTACTAATCAAAGAGGATTACTTTATTCTACATATTTCGGATCATATTTCTTCATTACCGCTTTACTTTATCTTTCAGAAATAGAATCAGGAAATAGTTCATATATCAGAACGAGATGCTATTGATATACGATCTTTGATCATATACTAACAACGTCTGTTACGTTGCGTGACAGAGATGGAAGACATTACTAAGGCATCTTTCAAGGCTCGTGACTGTCTCTGATTAGCATCTATCGCGGCTTTTAGATTATGTTTCAAAAAGGCAACTTATTTGAGCGAATCCAAGCGAAAAATTTCGATTTTTTTTTTTTTTTATCTTAATTCTATTTATGGCTCGTTCTGTACAATCAATAAAAAATAGAATTTAAAAAAATTCTTTGAATTATGTCTATAATAGCCTGTTGATTAAATCGTATATGCAAAATGGCAATTATTTAAAAGAAAAGTCTAACCACTCAAAGTATACCTTAAATTTTTACTTTAATTTTCTATTTGTTAGTACAAAAAAAAATTGGGAAATGTTTATTGAAAGAAACACTATTGAATGTATAAAATCGATATCGACCAAAAGTTTTGGCTAAGTCATTCGAAAAACAAAATATATCAAAATAGTAATACAGGCAATCTTTGAATGATTGAGCTAATTAAATGAACGAATGCGATGCTTTTTAATGGTCAAATAACAAAAAACAATTAAACCATTTTTGATTCAAACCTGAATATATTGCTCGACTAAGAGTGATCTTCTCACAAATATATCTTCGACTGACTCTTGTTTCAGTGTAGATTAATCGTAAATATTAATATCTTTCACAAAACAATCCATTTAGAAAAAGTTTCTGTTAGTATTTCCAACGATTTACATGCATCAAAGAGAGCATAAATTAATTTATGCATATATGTTTCGTACAAATTAAAAAAGAAAAATTTATTAAGCACATGTATTTAATAATTCATGTCCTTTCCATCTTTGTAAAGTTTTTGTTTGTGAAGAAAAAATGTCTTCTGAAAAAGTCATTGTTAAACGATGATTAGATTTTTTAATGTCTACATGAATATCCATGGAACTATTATAATGTTTTATTGTATTCAATGTTTGTCTTGATTTTTGATTGAAATCATCATTTTCATTGAAAATAAGTGAATCATAACTAACATTAAATAACGAAAGATTTGATTGAGCTTTTTCCATCAATAATAAAAAACCATCATTATCATAAATGAGATTTTCTTCATTATTATTATTAGTATTATCATGAATATTTGTCATCGATGCAAATAAAGAACATTGACTAGGATAATTCTACACAAGAAAAAAAGTTATTGTTCATATTAGCAACCAATGTTTACGTCAGAATTGAAGGTCGATTGAAATAAGCTTAATAACTCAATAACGGCATCAGTTAGTAATCGATGATTTTTAAAATTTTCAAAAAGAAAAATTCCGGAAGTTTTTTTTGTCTCATATTATATGAGACAAAATTATTTTAATAGTTATCATATTCACAAAACATTCGATAGTGTTTCGTTTCAAGAAAATTTGCTACAAATCGAAAGAATTCTATATAGTTCCACCGAATATATACGCGATATCGTTGACTCACAAGAAAACTATCCCAACTGATACCGTTTGTTTGATCTCATATCGGACTCACAGACAGTTTTTAGTGAGACTAGCAAGAGCCTAGAAGTGTGTGTCCGTATGAGGCTTTATCGTCAAGTTATGATCGGTTTACTCAGTCTTCAATTGATTTGTAGCTAATTCGGAAAAATTTAAATGGTAAAATATCGATCTAAAGTTATCCGTGTAGAAAGATTTAATGGCTCTTACAATATTCTGAAACTTTTAGGAGATTGTAAGAGTCATTAGGTCTATCTATACGCAAAACTTTGGATCAAACTGTATTGTTCAGTCTTTCGAAGAGTACCTAAAAATAATTTGATGACAAAGATCAATGAGATGGATCCTTTTTAGCTTTTACTATTCTCATTGAAACCTGCCTGTAAGTCCAATAAGAGCTCTAACAGTAGAATCCAATTGGAGTTGTTTCCTTGTCAGCATTCAGATAAGAGAAGATAATCATATGAAATTGAGCCTTGATCTATAGATCTAAAGCACATGGGAAACTTAAAATTACATCGAAACAGAACACCATTTTCATACAGTGTGTAAAATATTTTGTGAAAATGATTTATTTTATAATGATTGTTATCATTGTCGAGTTATTCAAGTTACACCAACCTGTTTAATTTTAGCATGAATGTTAAATAAAAATAAATACCTGTGAAAAATGATTTTCTTTATGAGATAATTCTATTAGAGGAAAAAAAAACAAAATTTAATCAAGAATTCTGCTTTTTTTTTATTAATAAATCTTACTTTTTTTTAAAAAATCTGGTAAATATTGTAAAAACGAGTGAACAAAACGTGATGTATCCATCATAACAAATAGAAATGTTGTTTTTGCTATCAATCGATCATTCTCTCTCTTTCAGATTTTTCTCTTTCTCACTCTTTTCTGTTTTGCCAAGTTCAACCAATCAATAATTTAATACTGAAAAATGATCTATTGTTATATGTTGGTCATGGCATATTCTCACAGCAGGATAGCATCTATCATCAACTTTGAATTTTCTCATTTCCGCCTTATCACAATATAATGAATCAACATATGAAAGAAAGTTCATCTATTACATCTGTTCAAAAATTAGATATGTGAATGAAATCACAAATCAAAAAAAAGAAAAATGTTCACAATGTATTATGATTCTAAGAAATTATTTGTTGAGAAGATGTTAATGGTTCTGATTGATCAATGATTGTCTTTGTTTGATCATTTTCATTGATGTTATCTAGATATGGACGTAGAATAATAAGTTGATAAATCCATTGTTTTAATGGACTACAAGTTGTTAAACAAATCATAAATGGTAATAAAATACAACGTATATTGTATACAAATAACATTATTTGCAAAGAATTAACTTGAGTATCTGTATTATTGTCAACACTAGTAATAATAAAATGTAAACATAGTAAAACAACTTCAAATAAAATAACACATGTTGAAAGTGATAAATAAAATTTTGTATTAACACTTAAACGAGATGATGAACGTTGTCGTAAAAAAGGTAAACAATATTGATATATAATAATAGATAAAAAACTAATAGTAATTATTGTTAATATTCCATATTCAAACCAATATTGTATTGTATAAAATGATAAAATTTTTGCATAGGTTTCAACATTTAATGAACGATAACAATATTGAAAATTAATTTGATCTGTTTGATTATTATTATCAATATTATTTTCTCGTGAAATAATATTACTTTTTGATATAGATGGATTCTTTTTAATAAGCTTTAAAATTTCATATAATCTTATCGAAAAAATTAAACTTACACCAATAAAAATTAATAATGAATAAAACCTTTTAAAATATGATCGATAATTATTCTTTGATAAAATAGAATTTAATAAATTTTTTGTTAATATTCTTTCAATACTAAATAATAATGTTAAATAAAGTTCTATTGGTTTAGCTAATGTTGATAAATAAACAAAAAAACGACATGTATGAAATGATAAATTTGGTTCACCTAAACCACTTAACATATGTGCTTGAATATAAAGACAAAACATATTGGTTAAACAAACAAGACAAATAATAAGAAAATTAGATGTACGAGTTGTATGAAATGATGATGGTGCAAAGAGAAATAATATTGGAAGTATTAAAGAGAATATCATTCCTATTGACCATGTACAAAAATAATTATAAAAAAAAATTATTGAATCAAATCGATCGATTGAAGTATAGGCAGTATAATAAGACTTCTATATGACAACAAAAACATAGAATAGAAAAGTATTTTCAAATTTTTCATCTGAACTTACTGCTGCTGTTCGATTCATGATGATTTCTATAAATGTAACTAATGATGAATGTATGTGCTTTGTTCTTTTTTTTGTTATATTTCGTTTGAAAATAAATGAAAAGAAATAGATAAGAACATTGTGATTATTTTAATTGGAAAGAAACTTGAGATAGTTGTATGTATGAGTCATGTACAATGATATTGAAACTTGATTATTTTTATACGAGTAATGTGAGAACTACAATAGATGAAATTGCATGACATGTAAACCAGTACGATTTGTCGTTTTTTAACGTGTTCTTTTTTTTAAAGCCTTTATCTTGTAATTGTGAATCTTACTAAAATGTATTTTTATATCACAAGAAAAACAACCTTTCATTGAAGATCAGTATCGATTATCTGATGACCAAGCAATATAGATAGAAGATAATAACAAAGGATTTTTCTGTCTAGTATGAATCGTAAAGTATTGATCGTGTTACATCCTTTTGTTTTAATTAATTTATAGAGGAACTTTTTTAAGTGTCCAATTGCTTTTGCAGTCGAGATTCTGTGCATCATCTAGGTTCTAGTGAGATATGAATATCCAGAGAAAAGTTCGTACTGATAGGTTATTACCACTGAGATATTATATATTTACTGTATTTTTTAGAAGGATACCGTGGTACCCTTCAGGAATCCCGAAAAGCTAAGTTTCGAATTTTGACTTGAAACTTTGCATAGAGACGAGCTTTAATGAAAAGCAGTTTTATTGTAAATGTTTTAGATCTTTTAATTGTCTTATATTGTAAGATACGACTATGATAAAAGCATGTTTTTTTTATTTCTGTCATATACAACGGTAAATTTCGATATTCTTATTTTAGAATAGGTTCTCTAGAAAAATCTGAAATCTTCACAATAAGCAAATCTAATTAAAGCCTACCTCTGTACAAAGTTTCAAGTCGAAGTTTGAAATCGAGTGTTTCTGAGGAAGGTCATGTCATTTTGTAAAAAAAATACAGAATCTCAACAGTAATAAGCTATTAACTCGAAGTCTTTTCAAGATATTCATAGCTCACTAGAACCTACATAATGCACATAGTCTTGTCTCAAACACGATTTGACACACTAAACATGAATGTTTTAACCACACTATTCTGGTAATCTTTCGGGATTTGAAACACTCACACGACTTTGTTCGTTACTAAGCCCGGTTGTTTTCACGCTTGACTTTTTTCTTTTGGAATTTTTTCATTATACCATTCACCATAGCGATTAGAATTTTTTAATTGTGAATACGTGAAATTATCATAAAACACATTTCGTCTACAACTTGCTAATATTTTTAGGCTACTATTTAACTGCTAAGTAAATTAAAATAAAAGCTAAGTAAAAAAATGAATATTTTCTAAGTAATTTCAAAAATAGAATTCTAAGTAAAAAAATCATTTTTGCAAAGTTTTTTATTTAAATTCTAAGTAAACATATGATAATTTCTAAGTAAAATATTGACCATGTCTAAGTAAATATATATTTTTCTCTAGGTGAAGAAACATAAATATCTAAGTAAAAAAGTATAATTGTTCAGTTATTATGTTAGTAAAGCTTTTGTAGCTTTTCGAGATCGTCCTCGTTTTCTTTTTTGTCCTAAAGCTATGTCTTTGGCCGATGGTGGTGGTTTACAAAACTTCAATATAATAGCCATTCCAATGACATGTTTGCAAATAAATTATTTGAAGAAGTTTGGACAATTACAAGTGCCACTTTTCCATTCCGTTCCATCATTAGATAAAGTCACTTTCCATATACCGAATTGAAGAATCTTGAATTGATCAAAGGAATTCCAGGTTTTTTTCTTGTATTTTTGAATATCATGTTGTGTAATATGTTCCGCTTCACCAGCTGGTATATAATAATCAATAGCACCTTTTCGGCTCGATGGTATTTGTAATACCAAGTTCGACGATTTAGCAAAATGATAAGCATCAGTCCATTTTTTTAATGTAATTGTTGGCTCTGATGAATAAATAATTGGATCTATTTGGTTTGGATCCCGAGATTTAGACCATCTATGTACGATGTCATTGGCTATTACAAAAAATCTTAATAATGGATGTCGTTCTCTAAACGTGTGTTCATCTTTGATCACTCTGTTGGTTGCCTCTAATGAATTGTTAGTACTAGGTGTGAAGTAATTGTATCCTTCATACCAAGAAGAAAAAGCTTGTAACCATTCGTTTTCGAAGTATTGTAAAAAAGTCATGTTCTCTTTGACACCATTTCTTAACAAACAATGATGATGCTTTGTTAAAGACTTTTTCTGATTCACACAATTGTAATTTGTCGATGTCATCTAATATCTCTTGTCTGAAACTAACATTACTTAACTTTTTATCAACATGTGGTCGCATATGCGCCCAGCAGATCACAATTTTATCATTGTTAAATGTTGTCTCAAATGCATTCCGTATGGCATCAGAACCATCAGCTATTAAAACTTCAGACATGAATTTCGATTGAACTATTTGGTCAACACCGTTGGAAATGCTTTTGAAAATAAATTCGAAATCTTGTTGTTGTTCATTACTACAAACTGCCAATCCAAATGGATGCAATTTTCTATCAGAATCAGTTGCTCCTATTATCAATACAGGAAATCCTTGCCAATTGAGTTTGTATGTGGCGTCTGCATGTATTCGTGTTGAAATAGAAGCGATTTCTAATAATCTTTTCGATATTATAAAAAATCTAAATTTATTTTCACCATCCATTGCGTCCTCGTTATCATCAATATCATCTTCATATTGCACATGGTAAGAAAGAACAAATGTTTCATCTTCAGATTGTGGTACTGTAGAGTTTTCAGCACATAAATTTTCGAAGTTTCCTAAGCTTATAGTTGAAGCACCATATTTCTTTTTACGCAGTTGCATCAAATAATTTTTCAATTGATTAGATGTAATCATAAATTTTTTTTCTTGTAAAACTTCATATATTTTCTTCGGCTTCAGTTTTAAATCAAATAATTCATCAATATGCTGTTTAAGTTCTTCAGAAAAACATTTGCGCTGAGTTAAATTTCCGTGTTCGTGTTCATTGTCTGTACGAAACAATAATACTTCACTGCTATCATTTGGGTAATAGAGATGTATTGCTGCATCGCATTGCTTGCCACGAAATGGCACCTGATTACAGCGATAATGCACTTTTATTCCATCACGACTTTTGTTGGTGTAATATTTACTCCACCGCTTCTCTTGTTTAATTGCATTTTGAGCATCCTTAGCATTCGAATAAACTTTTTCTTTAACCCAACGAACACTTCATCGAACAATCGGTTTTCTTTGAATATGTGATTGATCAACTTTCATTTCATTATCCGATTGAGATGAACTTTCATATGCTTGTGTTGTCGTAAAATTCGCTATAGTGATTCAATTAAACACATTTTTCATTAGCGCAGATATATATTTATATACGCGTAGACAAGAAAGAGAAGACCTGAGAACTCACTAGAAGATACATATTCGGCATGATTTATGAACTTTCGAGAAAATATCGGAGATCATATGTAATGGAAACGGTAAACAAACAGTACAAACAATTCTACTAGAACATCCTCGAAGACAAGCATGCACTCATTCACATACTATCTCCCAACGAACAAAAAGAAAGAGTTGGAATATACATATATATCGAACTACGTGTACTTTAATGGTTATAGTAGGAAAGCAAGAAGAAAAATGTATGTGTCATACCAACATTAAGAATTTTTTTTATCTTAGATATTCGAACATTGTTTTATTCGAAATTACTTAGTGATAATTTATATTTTACTTAATATTTTGATTTTTTTTTACTGTAATTTCAATTTATTAACTTAACAAAAAAATTATTTACTTAGGATTTATTTTTTTAACTTAGTGAATATATTTTTAACTTAGCAAATATTTTTTCTACTAAGAAACAAATTATTTACTTAGCATTCAATTTTTTTTACTGAGCAATCACACAGTTTACTTAGCACTAATCTACTTAGCATTTCAATATTTTTACTGAGCAAATAATTTGTAGCCTATTTTTATTCATTTGTTCAAAACATTAATGTATTCCACTGCTATATCAAGACTTTAGGAATATGCATGCCTAATACTAACTTTCAGTAAAGAGCGACATCAACAAGCATTTCATATTGTGTAAGTATACACGTTTCAGTATATTCTATTGACTATTCGCCTATTTCAATGACAAAAGACCATTGATTTCATGGTCGTTGAATCAATCATTCGTATCTTTCATTATCTAATTTTCGTTGTCATGTTCATTTATTGGCAATTATACTTATAGTATACAATCAATTTTATTTAACTTGGATCGAAGTTAATGTGTATTACATTATTTTGAATAATGATGATCTACAATTGCTTTTCTTTCGATTGTAGAATCACCTTTGGACTTTATTATTATGGTGAGTATCTCAGCCATTGTATTATATAAAAATGAGATACAAAAATAGAAATTTGTACCCTCTTCCCACAGACTGTTTACACGTAGTGGTAAATTTTGTTGATATATGATCAAAAACTGTGTACCAATAACGTGTCGTTATAACATATGAACTGTTTTCTTATTGTATATTTTTAGAGGTTAAGGAAAATGATGCTAAAGAAATGTGTTCCAAACTCAATAGAAAAAAGTAACATCTCTGTGATTAGAAACAGTAACTATATCGTGTTTCACATTTTAATCCTGTAAAGATTGCACTAAAAGCTTTTTATATGAATTTACATTTGTGATACGATAGAAACGTCGAGCTTGTAGGTTCTAAATCTAATATAAGCATTAAAAAAAGTTTTTTAGTCAATGACAAAACTTCTTGTTTTTTTCTATCGAACTTTCATTTTGAGATATGATCATGTGAAATTTTTCCATTTAACTAAACGAATAACTAATCAAAAGAGTTTACATAAATAAATGTGAATTAAAAGACTTGTGTATTTATTGCTATGTATCAATCAACATAGGACAATGTACTTTTAATATACGATTAGCATAATCTATTAAATTTTGTTTAAGTAAGATTGATGAAAAAATTGGAAGATTAGTATATTTTCATTTGGTTTCGTCCATCTCTTAGGTTGATTACAGTAGACCAAAAGAAAATTAAAGAAGCTAATGGAAATATCTCATTTGAAAAATATTTCGATTTATATCATGCAATGGACTAGAATAAATTTGTAAAAGAAAGTTCTTTTAGATGCAAGATAAAAATGATTCATTCTTTCTATCAGTATAGAACATATTAGTGTTTCAAAAGAAATTTACAAACACGTATTTTTGAATAAACAATGATAAGATCATGTTGCTATTTATGTCTTGCATTCGATAAAGTTAATAATTTTACTTCTTCTCTACCACTAACAAGAACAACAGAGACTTTAACAACATTTTCTGTCTCGTTTTGTTATGTTAAAAATAATATCATGTAAGTCTCTGCTTAATCACGAACCTTTAGTACAGATTAACTTATTGATAAAAAAAAAGGTCATTGTTAATTATAGATGAAAAATAAGCTTATAAAGTCATTTGACATATGATTGATTCTATTTACTACGAACTTATATTATGAAATAGATGATCGAAATTTGGAAGAATAATACGCATATAACACATAATTTACTGTCATCGGGGAGAAATTTTAACAGCACAATACCAATTGCATATCACATGCTTTTTTACCTTTATCTTATTCCTAGTCATAATGCACACTATTGTGCATGAATCAAAACAAACAAATACACAAACAAGTAAATAAATGATTGGAAAATTCAAAATTGATTTTATTCATTGATGATTAATAGCTAGTTTCGAGTGTCTTTTGATAATCGAAAATCTAGTAAATAGTTTCATGTATCTCATCTGATTAATTCAATTAAAATCAACCACTACTTCGATTGAATCTTTGCCATTTGTTAAATGAAACCTTCATACAATAAATATCATAATAAAATCGATTTTCTTTTTTCTTTGATTAAACTTCTTATATTTCAATAAATATATTTCTCAATTTAAATTATTTTATTAACAAATAATCACAAAATAAAATTCAATATTGGAAATCCTACGATAATGAATCAAAGAACAAACATTCATTCTGCTATTAAATATTAAAATATAACATAAGATTATGTGTCATTTTATAAAATTCACAACTTTTACATTTTTTGTAGCCATTTTTTACTAGAATAAAAAAATATGTAGAAATATTGTCCAGATACTTAATTATACTAGGATTGAATAATTACAAAAAAACACACTCAAAGAACGTGTATTCAACCGAAACATTAAATAAGAGGGACAAAATCAGAGCATGCATAAAAACATAATTTATTGTTTGTACCGTTGGAGGCATATGTTGATATTTGTTATTTCAAGAAAAAGAAAATTTCTCTTAAAATATTGTTTCGTTTTGGTTTTTTTTCTTATTACATCAATAAATAGTAATAGTTTCACTCATAAATGAAGTTAAAGTCGTTTTCTTCAGTTGAATCATACGCACTTATATGTTCTGTATTTTGTTTTTGCTCTATGTTGGCTAATATGTTTACGTAAATATTGTCACCGCCTAGGCATTATTTGTTTTCAAGAATCATTCGTTCTTTGATGAGTATAAAATAACACGTTTTTTTTCTTTTTTTTTTACTAGTCTTTGTCGTCATACAATTTTCTTGTACAGGAAAAAAAGACACCAACGTAAATATGCGACTAAATTATACTATTCTGTACAATCAAGGGCAGAGAGAAGAGAAACCCTTGACCCGTAATCGATGAATCATACATCAAAGTTGTTCTGTGAAAGGTTGCCAAAACATAAGCTTTATCTATGCACTTATCTTGTCTAAAAATTTTTGTACAAAGAACAAATAATGTGTTTTTTTCGAGTCTTTTTATTATTAGAACGTAAGAACAACTTTTTCAAAATAACATGTGACATGTTGAAAATATGGGTAATTTTTTTTTTCTCACTGTTTTCGTATCGTTAAAAATAGCATGTTTATATACTGCGGAAAAGTGCATCTCTGCAATTTCTAAAACTAAATTTTTCAAAAAATCTCGAATTTTAGACTTCATTAGAATAGATTATCATTTGTTATGCATCTGTGAATGTTTTATTTTTTTGCTTTATGTAACTCTACAAATATTTTTTTGTCATGAACGAAACAAAATTAACTAGAAAGAAGTAAGCTTAAAATTTTCTTTCTTTAATCAATTTGGCTTGGTACACTAGAAAAACATATTTACAGAGTTGCTCGAAGCGAAAAAAAAATAAAGCATTTAAAGATATATGAGAAATTGACATCTGTTACAATAAAGTCTAAAGTTCAAGATATTTTGCGTTTTTCTTTTGAAAAATTTGGTTTCGAAAATTCGAGAAACACACTTGTCTTAAGTAAATCAACATACTCCATCAAACCATGCAAAAATTGTGAGAGAAAAAAAATAAGATGTGAAGATTTCTAATTATCACATCTTAAGTAATTATCAATCACAGATACGCTCACGCAGTTTTCGTTTTCTTTTTCACATGGTTATTGTTCGAAACATGTTTTCATATCAGTGACGTTAATGAAGCAATAACGCAGTTAATATACGCAATTTTTCTCTTCCCTGTCCTTGTGACTAAATAAAATTAGTAATGTCCAAGGAGCAACCTGTACATTCTAGCGTGATTGCTCATTCGTATATTTAATATATAACATATATACAGTATACATTTTATTAATTTCTCATAGAACAAAAATTATGGCAAAAGAGAAAGCTAGCTTCGGTAAACGACTCTCACAATTCTTATCAAAGATGTTTTGGCATTTGAATCAACCAGTAGTACCAACGTATACTTATCCCAATCGCAAGAACTCAACATCATCATCAAATAAATCCATTAAAAAAGTTCAAGTCAAATCTTCTTATCAAATTTCACCAATTGATGTAAATCATCTACATCCTCATTTTTCACCACGATATCGAACAGCTTTAGCACGACCACGTGCTCCAATATTAACATCAATTCAAGAAGAATAGATTATACAAGAAAACAAACATCATCTTTATGTATATTTATATTTGGAAACAAGAACTGAATGATCAGCATGTTGAAAAAACTAAAAACATTATCTCTAGTCATAGATTGTATTTCTTTTTTTTTTTATATTTAGTTTATTATCTGTAGTAATTTAAATTCAATAGTTTGTAAAGCAAAATAAACTTGAAAATTTTCTTTTGTGGTTAATTCAACAAATATCAATTTATTCATACTAAATAGTACTTATCGAAAGTCGACGAAACTGAGTTTTTTTCTTCTTCTTTTACCTTATTATTGATCAAAAAAGTCGATTTGACAAAAAAATGATTGATGAATGGGTTTTCATTTTTAATGAATAACATTGCTGACGTCTGTTTTATATTGATATAGGGATATTTGAAACGATCACATGCAATTTTATTTGTCATCAAATCGGAAAGTTCAAATTTCATTTTCGATTAATTTTGAATAGAAAAAGTTTTCATATCATCAAATATGTTATGAAAAGACTTCATATTTAGAAATTTAAGATAGAATAATACTTTTTTATCTTTTGTTTTGTTGTCAAAGTAATATTTGATATATATTTTTTAATTTAACTTATAATTATTTGTAAAAACTTCATTGTTTATCTAGTACTATTTATAAAATAGATCAAGAAAATTATTTTCAACGCTCATCAACATTATTTTTTACCGAGCTATTTTCTATTATGCGTATCGAACGACCTTTTAGAATAAATATTTTTCTTTTTGATGATGAGATAAATAAGACACATAATAATATTTTCATTTCGATAATATTTATTTGAAATATAAGTAGATAAATATGTATATATATATGTGTGTGTATAGAAAAGTTTTCTATATATCGAATATATTATAATTTAAAAAGGAAAATGTTCATTAGTCTATTCAGCATAGCCTGGTGGTTGATTTGGGATAAGTTCAACCTTTGTCATTTTATCATATTCATCAGAATCAAGCCAACGTTGTACAGGAAAATATGTTATTGTATTTAAAGTTTCATTTGTGATCGTTAAATTTTCAACATACCACCCTTGAGATTTATCACCTGTATGCCAAAGTGTTGCACCTTTGATTTTACCCAATGACGGTAAAAATTGTATAAATACATCTGTGTGTCCATGTTCAAATGGATCTTTATGTGTTTGAGAATGTTGCAATTGTATAGTATCAGAATTGGCTTTTTCACCATGTATTATTAAATAAACATTTGCATCTGTACCTGATGCTTTTAATAAAACTAATCGTTTTCCTTCAGTACCAGTTTTAACAGCTATTTTATATTTTTCTTTTCCACGTAAGTCTCCATCAGGACAATTTGGTTTTGGTACACAATGAAATGCCAAAAATTCATATAGATTTGGATCACCTTTACAACGTCGAATAAATTCTTTTTTAGTTATTTCATTTTTTTCATCATAACCTAAACGTTTCATAACCCATTCAATTGTTATTTGACGTTTATCTGTATCATTATTTTCATCTGTATCATCTTGTGTTTCAACTAAATTTAATATAGCCATAACAGCATTTTGAATTTCTTTACGTGTTAAATTAGCATCTGATTGATTACGATTGTATGCTTTATAGGCAAGTTCAAGTTTAGCCTTTTCATCTGTACCTTGACTAACTGCTACAACACGAAGAAATTCACGAAAATTTAATGTTTGATCACGATCATCATCAAATGCGGTAAATAACATTTGAGCATATGCATCCGAATTACGTGCCCGAGGATAATATGAACGATATAAATTAATATAACGGTCTTTCGATATATTACCCGTTGGACATTCCTGCATAAAGCGTTTGTGCCAATCTTGTATTGATAGTTTACTTAGACCAGTTTCTTCAGTAAGTTGATTCAGTTCTTTTGAAGTCAGTGAAGTCATGACAATAGCTTGACAATATTGTTATTAATGAAACACCAATGAAGATCTTTATAATACTGCGTTTTGTCTTCTTCTTTTTTTCTCTCTCGTTCCGTTTATTCCTTTTTTTTTTATAATTTTCTCTGGGAGACACCTTGGATAGAAAAAAAAAAAGGGAAAAGAAGAAGCAGAAGTTGGCGTATTCATTATCGTTGCTTGATATTATAAAAGAATTTTTGATTCGACGGGAGAATGAGCATGTTATAGAATAGGAAAAAATTATGTTGTTGTTATAGTTACACGCAAGACGATATATAGAGATTAGATTGACCGTAATTAAACAAAACGTTTGTTTCCGTTTCTCAATAAAATTTTTTATTTTTATTTTTTCAATTCATATATGAATTAATATTTGATGTTCATTTGATGTTCTAATAAAAATATAAAATGCTTTTTTAAGTAATGCTTTCATTTTAAATTTTAATCATTTTATTCAATTTTTTAAATAATTATGTCATCTCGATTTCAATCATTGATCTTATACAAATGAAAATACTAAACAAGAAAAAAATAATCACAAGTCTAAGGTTAAGAACTTATTTGTTCTTAAAAGATCAAAGGCCAAGGATATGATTTTTTTTTGAAATTTCATCCGTAAGTAATACAATCGGATGAACGTTTTATTTTAACCAGCGTCCCGACAAACAGAATTTACACATAACTCAAATCTTCTTTCTTTTTAATATTATAGAGCAGTAAATAGATGATTGCAAATAAAAGAGACATACATTTTCACATGTCATGCACAATAATATCATATTTCTGCTGTTTTTTCTTTGTTCAAACATCACATGTTCTGAAGGTGATTAACTATAAATAAAATGGAAAAAAATTATATATCGAAATCAATTCTCTTATGTAAAGGTTTAATAGTGAATAATTAATTTAATTTAATAGATATGATCACGCGTCATATAGAAATAATTTAAGACGTGAAATAACAATGGCAAGCATTAAAAAAGAACATCTAATGAATATGTATATATTTAAAATTAACTCTGTTGTTTTGATTGTTAAAGTTACTAGTCTCGAATGTTAGAATTAGAGACATAATTAAATGAATGCTCAATGTCCTTAAAAAGTTTCTTTATCATTGCGTGTGTGCATGTGAGTGTTCTCTAAAAAGTTCTTAACTGTGGTAGATAATCTGATGAAAAAATTCTTTTACTTATCCTGGCATGTTGTCAAAGTCAGGACATGCAAAAACTTTTGAGCATTTTTTTCCATTATAAATATAACAAAAGTTCAAAATATTGTTCTTGTGACAACATCTACTTAAAATTTTAAAAGATTTACTCGAGCATCTTCTGTTTTTTGTTTCACATTTATTAATCATAGACATATATACATCTCAAATTGCATATCTAACTGTATTGAACATATATGAAAATCATGTCCATGTCTGTATTATATAATATTCCTGTGAATAAACGAAATTCTTATGTTATTTAATCATCAATAATATATAATAAATATCTCTATGAATAAAATTAACAGATTCTTATTCATTTCTAACTTATTTTCTTTTTTCTATTTAATTTTAAATAATAGAAAAATATAAAAAATATAGTCATGCAATGTTTTAACCAATCCGATGATATTAGTTTATTGTGAGTAAGAAATGTTTGTAAAAATTAATCGCTGTTTCCAAAATGGTAGAAATAACTTTTTTTATATGATATCAATTGAAAATTTATGAATAAATGAAGATGTTCATATTAGTAATAGCATTTCAAACCAGTAATGAACTTATTTTTTTATTTTAGTCAATATATCAATCATGATTCATTTGTTGTTCGAGAAAATACAACGTACTGCGTAAAATCCTTCTTTCTTTCTTGCCACCCACAATCAACAGAGGACACTACTATATTTTCGATTTTTATTTGGACGTAGCGAACATTCTTTTGGACTCAATCCACTAACAAACATTTATATTGATATAGTTGAATAATTGTTTTCAAATTTTACGTAATATTGTTCGTGAACATGACTACAGGTAAAGTGATAAATTGAATTATTCGAAAAAAAAACCAAAAATTAATTAATAAAATTTCTCTTTTTTTTGCTGTAGGAAGTTTTCCACCTTATGCACGAATGATCGGTGATAAATTTGATGTTTCAGCTTATTGTCGAGAACCATTAGTTACTGCACTTGATCATTTATCAAGTGTTAAATTTGCAGTATTTTCTTTAGTTCGTCCAGCATTAAAAATAACTGCTCGATCATTATTTATTGAAGATGAAACAATAACATTTTCAAATATTCTATCACATTTAAATTCTGATACACCAATATCAGCTCCACCACCAGAAGCTCAACCTCAACGACCAAAACGTTCATTTCCACAACGGTTAATACATTTTGTTACTGTTGGTATACCATTGGCAATTATTGTTGGTATACTTGCTGGAATTCTTCATTTAATTAAAATTTTTTCAAGCGACGTGACAACTGTAATTACAAATGTATCTCAATTATATTCAATGAGTCAACGTGATGTAAAATTTTATAAAGGTAAAGAAAACTTTTGAAAAAAAAACAATCTGTCATTATTATTTAAACGAATTATTTCTTTTTGCTTTTTTTTGTTTAGAAAATCCACAATTACTTCCATCACGTAATATAGCTATTGATGGAATTATTAATACAGGTTTAAGTTTTTATACACGTCGACTTATTTATAGAAAATTAGGAATGTTTTCATTTATTGCCAAACCATTTATGACACTTATTGAGAAACTTCTAACAAAACGTGTTATTAAATTTTTTGATCAAATTGATAACCTACGAAATCGTTACAATAATCGAACAATGCAACCATCAGCACCAATGGCACCGTCAGCACCAATGCCACCTTATTATAATGATAAGCCTGATGAGTTTAAATATGACTAGTGATTAAATTTGAACAATTTATATTTTATATACTTCTTTTATACTCGCAATTAGGTGTGTTGATTTTTTCTGAAGCTATTCTTGTTTGTAAAAAAAATTTTGAAATATGGAAAATAAATTATATAAAATTAAATTTGCCAATGAATTAATCTTTATTAGTTTCAGTTGAGTTACTGATTATTTTCTTGTTTATGATTTTTTTTTATATACTTGAAATCTCCATCAATTAATAAATTGCTTGTCTAAATCGTTTGTAATTATTTGTTTTAAAACATAATTATGCAATTTGTTGAAAATGCTAATTTTCTTCTTTATTAGAGAATGAGACATTTCTACGTTAGGATTGATATTTACTATCTTTCATGAAATCGATCAATGATAGATTTCTATAAGTGTGATTTGTGATGCTAACAGTTTTTAACATCAGTGATTTTTGATCTAGAGATGTCTCTAAAAATTTCATTTTATCCATTACGAATCATGTAGCTAAATTTTACAAGTGTGTTGAAATAGAGCTGTTGCAAATTTATGGTGAGAAAAAAATCAGACGTTTGATAACCTAGGTTATGAGAAAAGAAATGGTTTATAGGGCTGAACGTTGCTATAAGTATAATCATTAGAACGATCGGAACGTTAAATCTTATGCTTTTCTTTTAAAAACAGAATAATATATTGATTAATGAGGAAATAGAAATTCCTTTCAAATTTTTTTCTCTCATTCTTGTCGATTTTGTACTCTAGTATCCGGAATAGAGCTTAAAATAGAGGGAAGAATGCAAGATTGAGAGCCAGTTTTTTTCTCAAGGTATAACGATGAGCAATAAATCCTTTCTGTTTCATGTGCTGTTCTAACTAAATAATATTTTACTATCATTAAAATCCTATTTTAAAACTTTTGGCTGGATAGACTAATATATAAATATAGATAATGAAATGTAATGGAAAAAACTAATGGAATGGATGAGATTAGAATAGCATTATGAATAGTATCATCTATGATTGTAGTTTTTGGCATAATTAAAGATCTATTCATAGAACAACTCATATTTGTACAATTAAAAGTTCAACTTCTTTTTGTTGAGTCCAGATTCACATATTATTATTTGACCTATTTTCCGATCGTACGAAAACAAAATAGATAGACACAATACAAATCTGTCACTCATCACACTCTTCGAAGAAACGATATATTCAGTCGCTCTGTCTTTGAATTGAGACTTCTGCACAGGAATTTTCTGAAATTGCTAGAATGGGAATGGAATTGTATGGAAAATTGGTAGGATTAACTGAATTTGAGCGCTTCCTTGCAAATCGACGAGAAAACAACGCTAATACTCCGGTAGAAAAAAAATCAAAGTTTTTCAAGCTTCGAGGATCACCTCCCCACTCCGAAGAACATCCCTGTCGCTTCTACGTGATCAGATATCGCCTAATTTCAGTGACATTATTTAGGAAAATCGATTATGAAATCTATATGGAATGGTTCTCAATATTCGTTCTAGACTTCTATATTCGAATATAATGATTTAATTCAATAATTCAAATGTTTTCAATGTTGACAAAAAAACAGTTTTTATATACCATTGGTTAATATCATAACCAATCTTAATATGATGCGAAACAACGAACGGTCTTCGTTCTTTTTCTAGATGAACAATTGTATTTAATCTAAAATTATTTCGAACTAATCGAGCAATGCAACCAGCAGGTAAAATTTTTATTTTCGTACGAATTCAAAGTTAAAAATAAATATGTTTCAATTTTATTTAGCTACAATTAGTGTTAGTAAAGTCGCTCCATTTAAACCTAACGGAGCAAATTATATCGATGAAGATACCACTATAAATACTGAACAAGTTAATATAATAATTTCAATAATACATAAAAAATCAGATTTTCTTTCTTTTTTTGTTTTAATAAAAAGGAATTATGGTCAATAAGTGCGACAAGTAATCAACAAGGCGATGAAGAAATTTATGCTCGAGGTTCACATATCATTTGGACATATCCTCTTCAAAATATTCAATGTCCATCTTATATGAAATTTACTACTGATACTATACCAAAAAAAGTAAAAACGAAAAATAAATTCGAAGATACAAAAAGTTCTATTTGATTTTTTTTGTTTAGCTTTTATGGACAAAATTTGATCAATGTTCTATGTCTTGTAAATTTCAAAAAAAAACAAAAGCAAAAATCTTTTATTCTAATTATTTTTGTTTTTAATATTAGGTGAACATGGTGGAACAGAATTTCCAATTGTAATGGAACATAATTGTTTAACTGTTTTTGGCATGGATAGTGGATATACAAAAGTTGCTCTACCATTTTCTGTATATAAATAAGATAAACAGAAAATATTAAAATATATAAATTTCTTGTTTTTTTTTTTCGTTAAAAGGTATCAAAAGTTTGGCCATTTCGAAATGGTTTAATGATTGAAAGACAATCGTAAATATTTTATTTCATCATTTTTTCTTTATCGAATCTTTCTGTTTTTCTTTAATATAGAAATGATCATTATCTACCAAATTTATTTTCTCTATCACATCCACTTGATGAAGTGAAACCCGTTATATCAAGACATCATGGGGAATGGTTTTATAGTTTTGATAAACATGTTTATACAACAGCAGGTTTAGCTAGTGATGAACAACTTATATTACGTTTTGATGAAATCGATCGAGTACATAGTTTATGGTTATTACGAAAATGCACTGATGAAGTAAATTTTCAATAACAACAAAAAAATTTATTGATTTCGTTTTAATTAATTTTACTTTTTATTTTTTTTTTAATAAAAGGATCGTCATCAAGCAACAAATATGACATTACCAACATTAAATGAAAGTCATTTAGTACAAGGAAATAATTATCAAACATTAAATACAAATACATTATTGACTCAACCGAATATGTCACTTGCACAAATATCAATGATGAATAATACATTATCACGTCGTTCAAGTATATTAACAACAACAGTTACAGGTGGAACAACAAGTAATGTTGCAACAAATTCATCACCAAATCCAAGTAATTTATTAACAAATCCAAGACGATTAGCATCAATGGCTGTTATTTCGTATGTATAATAGTGTGATCAGAAAGTTTTTAGATAAGATGTTTGATTGTTTTTGATTCGATAGAAAATATCCTCGAAAATTTTATCTTATGTTTTGTTCTAGAGTAGTGAAATAGGTTTTTATTTATTCTATAAGTCTATTTTTCGAACATGTTAAAAATTGTCGGAATCGATCGTTTTCTAGAGTGAACACTTCTCTAAAAAAATATTATATTAGACTTAACTGTAGTTTTTACCTAACTGAGGTCATAAGCGTTTTTTAAAGAGCTCTTTTGAACCGAAGATATGTGTTGATTTTTCAAAAATGAGTATTTAGAAGAAATGAAAATTGAAATGTCTTGTCGAAAGCAAAAACCAAAATTTTTCGTTCAAACAATTTAGTTGACCATTTCAAAGAATATTTCATTATTTTCTAACAGAAACTGACTTTACTAAGAGGAAAGATATTGCCGAAAAATCCAAAACAAAGAGTATGGACTTGAACTTTGATCTATAGACAAGTTTTACAGTCATTACATTGTTCTGAAAGTTTCAACCAAAACAAACATGTCTTTCTCGAGATAGTTAATTTCTAATAAAGCATCGATTTGTCATAGGACGACACTATAATCGAATCTAATTTGAAATTGAATATCTCTAAAATGATCTAAGAGCTATCAACCATGTTTAAAGGTCGAATTTCAAGTCAAAATTCTTTGTTTTGGATTTTTCGGAGATGCTTTGCTCTCAGTACAAACTTCATCAAAATGTATCTTTATTTCATCGAGACTTACTCATAAGCATAATATAAAGTGAAATAGTGTTCTGCAGGCACTTGCATATGTTCTCTCAAGAGACAAAATTTCTAAGCCCTTATTCGAAAAACTCATAAATTTTGGACCATTGAAAATATTTTCTAGTTGATCAAAAGTCAATAAACTTCTTGTCTAAAAATTTTACGATGATCTACTATATATTCTTTTTATGTGTTATAGACGATCACCATTATCTGATTCAATTAATCGTGCAACATCTCGTTTACCATCAGCACAATTTTTATCATCCATGAGTGCAACACCATTTTCATGTTCAACATTAACGATGGGTAATGCTGGTGGAACAAATAATTTATCAAATTTTCCAACAACAGCATTAATTGATCGAATGGGTACAAATGGAAGTTTTATGGCTACACTTAATGCTGATTGTGCTGCACATTCAAATTCAATACCTGATCCACTTTGTCCAGATTATTGTGTTGAATTTATTTGGGCAGATACATCATTTAATTCATTATCGAAGTAATATGATAAATGAAATGAAATTTTTCAAATGTTTGGTTTTCTTTGTTGTTGACTATAGAGATCCAGAACAATGTGCAACGAAATTTTTCGGTGTAAGAGATTTGTCTGATCATCGATGGGTCGCTTTTCTAATGCCACATATTAGACAATTACGGTAAAAATGAAATAGGATAAGTCTTATTGTTTAAAATGAATATATTATTTTAGACTGGTTTTACTTGAAAAAACAACACTTGGAACAGTGAATACTGGTGTAAATAAAGTTGAAACAATCAATGCAAGAGATGCAGTTTTTGTTGCTGTATGAAAATGTTTTCTTTTTTTTTTCGTACATTGAAATGATTATATTAAATTAATGTTGTTTTAGTCATTAAAATTTCTTGTTGTACTTGATTTATCGCGTTCAATTCTTCTGTATTCCGGTGCATCAAAAGTAAGTTAAATTTAATTGAAAAAATTTAGAAAACTTCTAACTTACAAATTGATGTGCAATTTCAAAATAAGATGTTATTTAAAATGAGATGATATTTCTATACCAGTGAAGAGTTTTGCAATTATTAGTATAAAAAAATCAATTTTTAGATTGCTAAAGTTCTTCTACATGAAGAAACTGGTCCATTATCATCAAATTC